CAGGGTAGGGCCTGAAAGTAGGCATTGAATATAGATTCCCAGGTATTGCTGTTCCTGCTGATCCTGGGACCACACTTGGAGAACCACTGACTTAAGTTGTACTAGAAACCTTACCTTTAAAAAAACATCTGCACCACAGGGCGTGGTCGCACATGCTTGTATTCTCTGGGACTTGGGAGGCTGAGGCAGGAGGATCACAAGTTCAAAGCCAGCTTCAACAACTTAGTAAGGCCCTAAGCCACTCACTGAGGCCCTGTCTCTAAATAAAATATAAAAAGGGCTGGGGTGTTGGGGTTATGGCTCAGCGGTAGAGTGCTTGCCTAGCATGTGGGAGGCCCTGGGTTTGATCTTCAACACCACATAAAAATAAATAAAATAAAGGTATTGTGTCCAACTACAACTAAAAAATAAATATTAAAAAAAGGGCTGGGGATGTGGCCCAGTGGGTTCAATCCCTGGTACCCTCTTCCCAAAAAACATGCCCTCACAATGACCACATTTAATAAATAAAATCCTTATGGGACCTCAGACTTGGAACCATGCTCACTGCTATTTATTAAGGAGTAAGCTGAAAGAGTGGTTCTATGACCTCCATGTCCTTCATTATAATTTACAGTTCTGTTATTTGGGCCTATTTTTTTTCCCAGTGGCTGCCTCAGTGAATTTCATGAGGACCGAAGTCACGTCATGTCCTTTACTCTGTTTGTGAGTATCTAGAACACCCAGCACACAGTAGGTACTCAACAAATATTTGTAAAATGAGTGACTCAGTGATTGCTGACATCGTGGGGCTAGTGAGCAGCAGAGTTGGCATCAGGCCACAGTCCCTGACTTTGGGAAGCACACTTTCCTGCTAGTGGCCTTCTGGACCAAGTGCCCCTGGGTTCTGGAAGCCCAGAACCTGAAGGAGACTCAACATAGCAGGATCCAGTGGGCTCAGACTGTCTGAAGCTCTCCGAGCCCTCACCTGTGCCAGCGGCAGGCAGAGAGAGATGTCCCTGGCAGAAGAGCTTCTCCCAGCATATGTCCTCCCCGCCTCTTTGCCTCCTGCCTCTCAGTGCTTCAGTTTTGAAGTCTGTGACGTGAAGATAGTAATGAGTGTCCTCCAAAGGCTGCTGTGAGAATTGAATGAACCCACGCTAGCCAACAGCCCCATTCAGGCACCGCTTGCCGTGTGCCCGGCCTTGTTCTGGGGATCTGCACAGATGAACTCCTTCAATCTTCTTAGCCAGCCTGGAGCATGCTCTTTCCATGGAAGCCGAGGTACAGGTTAAGCACTTGACCAAAGTCACATGCATGGCTAGTAGTATCTGCAGTGACATTCAGGCAGTCTGGGTACAGCAAGTGCTCTCAGCTGGAGAACACCTGGTACGGAGCATCTAATAAAACGATAGCTCTTGCCATGGGTGGTAGGGGCCCTAAACCTTCACTTCATTTAATGCTAGGGGACATCTCCAGCCTCTCTGCCACCTTGTCCCACCTAATTATCTTTCCTGGAACCGCTATTTGGGGAAATTCCCAGGGAGAAGAATGGGGAATTCCTGGGATCATGAAGAGCCATTCATTCCCAAGGGCTAGGGACGTCTTCCACTTCACCTGGTGTGCTTCTGAATGAGATTTCCAACCTGCTACTGACAGAGGAATCTTCCAGAAGTTGAAGAAGGGGTAGTAGGCGAAAAGCATTTTGGGGATCCATGCTGAGTACTCTCAGGAGGGGTGAAACAGTGGATAAGTGCTATCACCTCCCAAATCTCTTTTCTGATGGCCTAGAGAGTATGGGCTGGGCTTGAGGGGAGCAGGCGGGACTAGAATGGGAGGGGGTGCTGGCCTGCAGCCCAGCCCTTAACTCCTATCATTAGACATTTGGTTCCACCTAGTGGCCTCATGCATTCCAACTGTCTTATCAGAGACTGGCAGAAGGGTGCTTTTGTAGGGATTCCATACCTGCTTTGTCCAAGGCACACCGTGAGGTGGGGTGGGGCATATTCACAGATAGAAGGAATGAGCAGAGAACTAACATTCTCTGGTTCCATGTGCCAGCCCCAGAGGGGCACCAAGGATCTCCTGCCAGAGACAGGTCTGCGAAGTGCCTGGCCTTGGTATTTGATTCATCTGAATAATAACAGGATCAGTGTTTCCCTGACCAGGCTACTTCACCTCTCTGAACCTGGGCAGTCACAAAAAGTTAAGTGATAATCATATCAAGTGTTTAAGACAGAACCTGGCTAGGTGTGGTGATGCATGCCTGTAATCCCAGCCATTTAGGAGGCCGAGGCAGGAGAATTGCAGTTTCAAGGCCAGCCTCAGCAATTTAGCAAGAACTTTCTTCAAAATTAAAAAAAAAAAAAATTGGTGGTAGAGGGCTGGGAAAGTAGTTCAGTGGTAAAGCACCCTTCGGGAAAAAAAGTAAAAAGAAAAAAAAAGTGCAACGTTCATTAACAAGAGCTGGGCATGGTGGTATCCTGGTATAATCTCAGCAACTCTGGAGGCTGAGGCAAGAGGATCACAAATTTGAAGCCAGCCATGACAAGTTAGTGAGACCCTGTCTCAAAAATATATTTAAAAAGGGCTATAGATGTAACTCAGAGGTAGAGTGCTCTTGAGTTCAATTCTTAGCACCAAAAAGAAAAAGGGAAAGAAAGAGCATAGCAGCTGGTGAATGATCAATAAATGCTACAGATAACAGGATGCTATTTACCCTAAACCTGTGCCCAGGCAGCAGGCGGTGGGTCTCGTTGACAACAGTCTGGTGCCATGGGAGTTGGTAGGAGAGAGATCTGAGTCACTCTCCAGCAGGCTTAGGGGAGCTCAGCTCTGAGCAGGAACCTGCGTGGGAGGCTCAGGGCAGGGTCTTGGTTCCCCCATGTATCTCCTACCATCCTTTCTCCAACCTTTCTGAGGAAGGATGTGGAGCAGCTTTCCTCTCCACTGTGGGGACCTGGGTAGCAATGACAGCAAATAGGACAATTGGATTCTCTGCTGATTTGCTGAGATCCCATCCCTGACGTGCCAGGGGCTCCTCCCCTGTCCTGCATGAGTGGTGGACCCAGTCCTGGATCAGCCTTGACCTTTCTCCCACCCCCATGCACAGGCAGAAGTGCTTGGTGCTGATGGCCTTCCTGGAATCTGTGCATCTCCTGTTCTGGCTGCCCAGCTCCCCATCCAGAGACCCTTGAAAATAACCTGGCCAAGTCCATTGCTTCTCTATATCCAACCTGTAGGACCCTCTGTTGCCTTCGAGATCATGTCTCAGCTCCTTGGCTTAGTGTACAAAGTCCATCCTGGTTCTTCCTCTCTTGCCCCAAGTGCTAATGCCCTCTCCCCAAACTCCCCGTCATGCGTCACAGCTCCATGACATTTTTCAGGAACTCCATGCACTTTCACATCGCCAAGCCTTAGCAGGTGCCATGTCTTCTGTCCCTAGAACCCTTCTTTTCCAGGGTCTGCCCTGGCATTTTTTAGGATCCATTCAAATATTGCCTCACTTTGGACCCCTTCCAGATTCCTCCAAGCTTCTCTGGAATCTCTTGGCATTGTGACACTTGTCTATCAAGCATCTATCCACTGAATTCTAATTATTGATTTGCATATTTATTTCCCCCTGTGGACTAAAAGCTCCTTGGTGGCAGAAGTCTTGCATTTTTGTGCACTGGAGTTTCTAGAGCATGGCAGGTACTCAGAAAAGATGTGCTATTGCATATATCCTTCCACCTTGTGTTAGCTCAAGATGTGTGTGTGTGTGTGTGTGTGTGTGTGTGTGTGTGTGTATGTGCATGTGCGCGTGCAAGTGTGTGTGTGTTTGCAGTGCTGGGCACCAAACCCAGGGCCTCACATATGCCAGACGAAAGTGCTCTACTACTGAACTACATCTCCAGCCAAGAATGTGCTGTTTTGAAATCTTGCTAGTTGCTGCTTTCCTCCGGGAGTTTGTGTGGTTAGGAGGCAAGCAGATGGGCTCTTGCCTGTTGAGAATAGCATCAAGTTCAAGGCTCTGGAGTTAGATCCAGGATCTGTGTCTGGCTCGTATCAGCTTTGTGAAAAGTGACTGACCTCTATAAATCTCATATTTCAAACCTAAAAATATGGGTTACAATAGCATTTAGATCAATTCTCCAGCAGGTTTAGGGAAGCACAGCTCTGAGCATGGACCACACATAGAAGATAGCGAAGGTTCAGCAAGAAATTAGCTGAACCTGGGCATGTTGTCACATGACTATAATCCCAGCTACTCTGGAGGCTGAGGCAGGAGGATTGCAAGTTTGAGGCCACCTTGGGCAACTTAGTGAGGCCCTGTCTCAAAATAAATTAAAAGGGGCTGGGGATGTGGCTCAAGCGGTAGCGCGCTCGCCTGGCATGCCGTGCGTCCCAGGTTCGATCCTCAGCACCACATACCAACAAAGATGTTGTGTCCGCCGAGAACTGAAAAATAAATGTTAAAAATTCTCTCTCTCACTCTCTCTCTCCTCTCTCACTCTCTCTTTTAAAAAATAAATAAATAAATTAATTAATTAATTAAAAGGACTGAGGAAGTAGCTCAGTGGTAGAGAGCTTGCCTAGCATATGCAAGGCCCTGGGTTCAATCCCTAGCACTGCAAGAACAAAATAGAACAAAAACCTTAGTTGTATGCTAGGACTTAGTAAATGTTCAATAATCGCAGTCTTGTCGTTCATTGTGTGTTTGTTTTGGATAGTGCTGGGCGTCAGGATGGAATTTGGGGCCTCCTGCTTGCTAGGCGAGCCCTTTCCCACTGAGCTATATCCCCAGTCCTATTGCTCAGTTTGAAATTAGGAGCTGCCTTAGAATTCACTCCAGTTATTCTCCTGCCCCCTGAGGGCCCTAGAGTCTGATCTGCTATGGTCCAGGGGCCTGAGACGGAGTGTCCTGGAGGATGGTATGCTGAGGGCAGCAAGGACTCCTCTGTGTCCAGCAGAGGGCCCTGGCCAGCCTCTGGCCAGCAGGGTGGGAGGGAGGGCTGGCTATGCCAGACGCCTGACTGGAGGCGGACCCAGCCGGCCAGCTGCCTCTCTTGATTCTGCCCGGCACTTGGGTCTCCTGCCCTCACCTGCTCTCTCCAGGGCAGCTGTGTCCTGCTTGTCCGGCCATGCGGTGGCTGTGTCCCCTGGCTGTGTCTCTTGCTGTGGTGCTGGCTGCAGGGCTAAACAGGGTCTCTGGGGGTGCCCCCTCACCCTTGGGCAGGCACAAAGCTGAGACCCAAGAGCAGCAGAGCCGATCCAAGAGAGGCGCTGAGGATGAGGAGGCCAAAGAGGTGCAGCATTATGTGCCTGAGGAGTGGGCTGAGTACCCCAGGCCTATCCACCCTGCTGGCCTGCAGCCCACCAAATTGTTGGAGGCCACCAGCCCCAGCCTGGACAAGGACGGGGGCATCCTGAGCAGCGGGCAGGAGCTGAGGGGCAATCTGACGGGGGTGCCGGGTCAGAGGCTGCAGATCCAGAACCCCCTGTATCCGGTGACCGAGAGCTCCTACAGCGCCTATGCCATCATGCTCCTGGCACTGGTGGTGTTTGCTGTGGGCATAGTGGGCAACCTGTCCGTCATGTGCATCGTGTGGCACAGCTACTACCTGAAGAGTGCCTGGAACTCCATCCTCGCCAGCCTGGCCCTCTGGGATTTTCTGGTTCTCTTTTTCTGCCTCCCGGTTGTCATCTTCAACGAGATCACCAAGCAGAGACTGCTGGGTGACATTTCTTGCCGGGCTGTGCCTTTCATGGAGGTGAGTGTGTTCGCTTCCAGAGCTCGGCTACGGGGCTGCAATTCCTTGAAGCAGCTCAAAGTCCCCTTTAGACCCTGGGAAGTGGGTGCATAGAACCCCAGATCCCTGCGGCTCTGCCTTCACTCCCTTCTCCCCGGTGCTGGGGAAGGAGGCGACCTTGGTGTTGGTGTCCGGTAGCTGTCAGGAGAGCAAGGTGGGCCAGGGGATGTGGCGGTGTGCAGGACCCTGGGTTCCATCCCCAGCCTGGCCTCCCGCCTTGGAGCAAACTCAGGGCAGGTCTCTCCCTGGTTCTCTAGATCAGAGCTGCTGCCTCCTCTGTCTCTACCCTCCCCCATTGTTCTATCCAAGAAATCCTTCTGTCCTTTGTTGTGTCTCCTTCTTTCCCTATGTACCCATGGCGCTGCCATGCACCCATGGCTTCCCATCTTAACTCCTCGCTATCCTGCCTCCTGGGCATTCCTGCTCCCTGCAAGTGCAAACGCCGGGAGAACAGACTTCCATTCCCCTTTGGACCGTGGTTATTGCTGTCATTGCTACCATTTCCATCAGTCACCCTCTAAATCCTCTCTGAAAGAGAAGACCCACTTCTGGGCCCTGGAGCCAACAGGTGCTCTGGTCTCCACTCTGCCCCTGACATACTGGGTGTCTCTGGGCAGCTCACACCTCCTTTTCATTTCCTTATCTCCCACCCTAGTAGGATGGGTAGACCAGATGGCCCTTCTAGCTGGCTTGTTCTACAAGTCTAAAGTAAGTCACTATGCCCTCACTTCTGGAAACTTTTTTGTTAAGATAAACACATGATTTTAAAGGTTGCTTGGCTCACCCAGAGACAATTTAATCACTGCCTAAGTGTACCCACATATGTGGATCAGGAAGGCTGCTGTCTATAAGAGAACCAGAATAAGCAAGTGGTACGCACCATATATCCTTCCACCTTGTGTTAGCTCAAGGTGTGTGTGTGTGTGTGTGTGTGTGTGTGTGTGTGTGTGTGTGTGTGTGTGTGTGTGTTACTGGGGATTGAGCCAGGGCCTCATACATGCTAGGTGAGTGCTCAATCACTGAGTCACCTCCCCAGCCTTTTAAATTTTAAAGTGACCTTTTAAATTTTGGTTACATGTGATGTAATAATGAAGACTCTAGTGGCTGTGACCTCCCCGTGAAGGCTGGTTTTACTCCATGGATGATGCTCTGTGACCCAGGTGACCTTCCTGTCTGGTTGTGAAGGAATCAAATATCATTTCTCTCTCTCTCTCTTTCAGTACAGGGGTTGAACCCCAGGTCTTGTGCATGCGAGGCAAGCGCTCTACCCCTGAGCTACATCCTCAGCCTTTTAAAATTTTATCTAACTTTATTTTTTTACTTGAAGAATACAGAAGTAGTTTGATTTCTTTCATTGAATAATGCAAAACACAAATTCTGACTTCGTATATATTCATATGTAACTTTTTCTCTGACATTCAAAACTCAGTAGATTGGTGAATCCAGAGGAACTTCTGTCACCATCATATGAAGCATACTCTATTAGTTTTTTCCAAAATTGATCCCAAACCATTTCTTCTTTTATACTCTAAAACATCTTAATTATGTGGTTGGATGAGCTAGAACCACAGGAAGCCAGTGGTGCTCAAGGTCGACCCAACTTTCCAGCCAGTCGGCTTTGTCACATGGTGAGTTCCCCAAGTAGAATTCCGACCGTGCTGAGGGGCCCCCCCTCAGGAGGCTGGTGGGTGCCAGCAGCCACAGGAAGGGTGTAGCAGCACAGATGGTGCCATGTCGTCATACTTGATTTTATTTTGAGTTAGGGACTCACTATGTTGCCTATTTGCCCTTGAACTTGGCCTCCTTCCTCAGTCTCCTGATAGTAGCTGAGATTACAGATGTGCACCACTGTGCCTGGTCAGGATCAGCATTAGACGCAGGTCCTGGTCCCAGCTCTCTACCCAGTTGGCTGTGTTGGATGATTTCATGGTTGGACGGACTCTCTGAAGCTGGTCTTAAAAATCAGGATTGGGTCCCTGTTCCCCTGGTATTGAAGATCAAACACCCAAGAAACATTGAGGCAAGAGCAAAAAGTTTTATTAAAGGATAGCATGGAGAGACTCCTCCGGAGAGGAGGGGGTCCAGAGCTAGTGCCCCTGCACAGACTCTCTACGATCAGCAGTTAGAACTGTCCTTTCCTCTCCTCCTAAAGCCAGGAGTCCAACCAATGCTGGCCCAAAGGTACCCAACCTGATAGGAGACCCTACAACACAGGATAACTTCGTCCTCATCTGGTGTTCACGGCCAGGGTGAGCTGTGAGTAGTCAGACACAGGACTTCAGAACTGGACAGTCTAGATAAAAAACTGGGCTTTTGCCAATTGCTAGCTGATTGAGCCTGGTAAGTTACTCACCTGCCTAAATCTCAGTTTCCTCATCTGTAAGTTGGGAACCATAGTAACAGTAATAACTATTTGAATTATTGGTCTTTTTTCCCTTCTACTGTTGGCCCGGGAAGCACTCAACCACTGAGCCACACGACTCAGCCCCTCTTTTTGGAGGTTTAAATGGGTAATATGCACAAAGTGCTTAGAATTAAAATCAATCAACATATATGGTGGCTTTTATTGGGGGATGATATAAGGGGAAAAAGGGCAAAGGCTGACTTTATGAACTTTCTTGCTTATGGTTGGAGGTAAATGGATACCCGGCCTTGCCTGACTGTGGTCCACAATGCCTAACATGTAGACTCTGACCCCAGGAAAGAGATGGTCCATGAGCTGATGGAGCCTAGGCTGGGAGATGGGATGGGCTTGGGGGCACAAAACAAACTTGCCCAGAACTCTCTAGTTGGGAGGATGTCAGGATGGTCCCTTGCAGGGAGCTGGGGAAGGCAGCTTGGGATATTTTTTGAGACATGGGGAAAGAAGGAGAGAGCTTGGTGTTGTTGCCAGAGGCTGGAGGCGGAAGGCAGCTCCTCTGCAGTCCTGGGCTTCCCTGCCAAGAGAGGGGGCTGGGGTTCTTACAGAGGCCACTCAGCAGTGTGAATAAGCCTGGGATTGTGCTCCCCCAGCCAGAGAGGGAAGAATTTGGGTGTAGGGGGCGGGTGGTCAGAGCCCAGAGTGTGGTGGAACATCACTGGATAGCTCGGGAGGGTTCTCTTCTTCTTTTATGCTCTTTGGCACTGTCTTCCCGGCGGCTGGGGCTTCTTCCTCTTGGCTCACAGGGTGATCTTCCTGTGTGTTCGATGAATAGCACGCAGGGGTGGTGGGCCCAGGCTGCTTGACAGGGGCTGGTCCCCACACAGTGAGGCCCTGGGCTTTTCAGGACAAGTGGAGAGGAAGGGAGGGAGGGAGGGAGAGAGAGAGACAGAGACAGAGACAGAGAGCAAGCGAGCATGAATGAGTGTATAAGCCATGTTTCCCAAGAATTGCTCCCAATGAATGCACGGAAGCTGGTACAGGAAGTGGAAAGAGCTTCAAAGAGCCAGAACTTCCATGTCTTCGTCCTGGGTCTTCCTTAGTGATGGTTCTCAAATGATTCTCAAGCACTGGGGTCTGGAGGAGACAGGATGAACATCCCCTAGCTCAAGGAGAGTCTTTGGGCACCTCCTTTTCCATTTCTTTATCTCCTACCCTAGCAGGATGGGTAGACTAGATGGCAGGTGTGGGGTAAACTTCAGCTCTGTCATTTAAGATTTTTTTCTGCCTGACCCTCAGTTTCTTCTTCTGTGAGATGGTTGATGGAGGGTTTGACAATGTATGGAAGAGGACTGATGGTTAGACAATTCTCACCAAATGGTAGCTGTCATCATTACTATTATTTCCATACCATATAGGAAGTAATTCATGCTCTGTTTGGCCAGAAACCAGAGTTTCTTTCCTGTCCCACAGGTTCTGATCATGTGCCTCTGTCTCCCTCCACACCCTGGCCCACAGGTTTCCTCTCTGGGAGTCACGACCTTTAGCCTCTGTGCCCTGGGCATTGACCGCTTCCATGTGGCCACCAGCACCCTGCCCAAGGTGAGGCCCATTGAGCGGTGCCAGTCAATCCTGGCCAAGCTGGCTGTCATCTGGGTAGGCTCCATGACTCTGGCGGTGCCCGAGCTCCTGCTGTGGCAGCTGGTACAAGAGCCAGCCCCCACCACGGGCACTGTGGACTCGTGCATCATGAAACCCTCAGCCAGCCTGCCCGAGTCCCTTTACTCCCTAGTGATGACCTATCAGAATGCCCGCATGTGGTGGTACTTTGGCTGCTACTTCTGTCTGCCCATCCTCTTCACGGTCACCTGCCAGTTGGTGACGTGGCGGGTGCGGGGCCCGCCGGGTAGGAAGCCGGAGTGCCGGGCTGGTAAACACGAGCAGTGTGAGAGCCAGCTCAACAGCACCGTGGTGGGCCTGACCGTGGTCTACGCCTTCTGCACCCTCCCGGAGAACGTCTGCAACATCGTGGTGGCCTATCTGTCCACCGAGCTCACCCGCCAGACCCTGGACCTTCTGGGCCTCATCAACCAGTTCTCCACCTTCTTCAAAGGCGCCATCACCCCGGTGCTCCTCCTGTGCATCTGCCGGCCGCTGGGCCAGGCCTTCCTGGACTGTTGCTGCTGCTGCTGCTGCGAGGAGTGCGGGGCCTCGGAGGCCTCGACCGCGGGGGGCTCGGACAGCAAGCTCAAGACCGAGGTGTCTTCCTCCATCTACTTCCACAAGCCCAAGGAGTCCCCCCCACTCCTGCCTCTGGGCACGCCTTGCTGAGGCCAGGCCCCTGTGGGGATGGGGGCACAGGAGGAGGGGTGGAGCAGGCAGGGAGGGGCACCAGCCCAGCCGGAGCCGAGCCTGCTGTTTCTTTCCCCGTAGGTCTTGCTTCTCTGCCCATCTTGCTGTCTAGACATGGACCTGGCTCCTCTTGACAAGGCTGGGGGTGTCAAACCTCTTTTCCCCAAGCAGGGCCTTCCGTGTGGCTCTGAGGGGCCTCCTAGCCCTGTCCCTTCCACGGGTGGGCGGTGATGCTCCTAGGTCCTTAGAGCTGCCCCCAATCGTTGTCCCACCACCTGGGAGCCTGGACTTGGCCTTCCCTACCTTGGTTGCAGCCTGTTTCCTTTCTCTGCCTTGGAACCTGACTCTATGGTAGTTGAGTCCTCCCCAAGCATCATCTCCTCATCCCCCAACCCAGGGACCCGTCCTGGAATGGGGGGCTCCGCCTGACCAGCCTCAGGACCCTTTTCTCTGGACTGAATCGGTCCCTGCCCTGGACACCTCCTCCCTTCTTTCAGAAGATTTCTCTCTCCTCCCTCGTCCTTTCTCTGAGGTTCCCCGGGTGGCCCTCCTCGACCCTCTCTCCTTAGGTGCTGTCCTATAGAAGGCCCTTCTTGACAATAAACCAGGTAGAACTCACCCCTGTGCCCCCTGAACTTTTTGTGCCACGTCCTGGCAGTGTCCCAGTGCATCTGGCCCTTCCCCAGGCCTGGGCAGTGTCCTGGGGGCGTTCCTCCTGACCGCCTTTTGCCCTGGCCTATGGCTGCTGCCTGGTCCTGGGGCTCTGAGAGCATCTGACTTTTGAGAAACAAGGATGGAGGTCTTGGAGAGGAGGAGAACTGAGCCTTCATCCTGGCCTGGACCCAGAGTCCCTGGGAAGTCAAAAGGCTGCCAACTTATCTCCTCTGGAGCCCCCCCCCCGTTTCCCTCTCTTCACAAAGCCCCCATTCGAGGGAATCCATGGCCTCCCCTCTCTTCGTTGAGGGGCTTCCCAGCCTCTCTGGCTCTGAGAGCGGCTCTTGTTCGATTTCTTAGAACGGACTGTTTTGCCCGTAGACGGCCCAGCTGCCTGTCCCCTGCCTGCCCCCACCCCACCCCCACTGCACCCTTCCTGCCAGGGCTGCATGCTATGTCCCCAACAGACCCTGCAGCTCCTCCTGTTGGTCCCCGTCCCTGAGGTTAGCTTCCCGCAGCTCTGCCTCTGGCCCTTCCGGAGGGTCCTGAGCCTTGCTGCTCCTGAGGAGCTGGCAGGCCATCAACCAGAAGTCATGCTCTGCCTCGGCCACCAACGCTCTCTGCCAGAGAGGCTCAGCTTCCTCCTCCCCTGCCTAAAGCTCAGCTCTGGGTCCCACCAGACAGTCCCGTCTGCCAGGCCACCTGGAACCCCCATTTGAATGGAAGTGTCCCCAGGGGCCCAGGATGTTAGAGGCCAGGGGCTTCTGGTGGCCCCGGCCCATTCTCCTCTCTCCAGCCACCCACACCCCTTGGCCTCAGCCTGCCCAGGGCCCGAGCCTCCCCCCACCTCTAGAGATCTTAACTGCCTTGTTCTTACTCCCTGGCACCCACCCCTGGGGCTGCTGATGCCGCCAGGAGAGCGAGGCTGTTGCTAGGCGATGGCACTGCCATGCGCACACCCTTTGTGCTGGGGATGACACCCACCCAGTTTTCAGCAGACCTGTTGCCACAGTGACGGGAACCCCCAGCTTCGTAGAAACTTTAGATAGGGGGTGGGCAGGCCGGACTGGGGGCCAAAGGCGGGGGGTGCTGGAAGCTGCCAGGGGTGCTTCCTCCCCGTTCCCCCACAATCCCTTCTCCACCCCAGCCCCCCACTCCTAACACCAATAGCTTCCTAAGGGAGGCAGGGGCGGGGGCGGGTGAACTGAGGTGAACTCCGGGACAGGGGCAGGGCTGAGGCTAGAAGGCTCGGGGCGGGGGGCACCTCAACATCCTGTTTGGGGGCACTTTTCCACAAAGGGTCCCCTTGGCCCCTCCCTCCTGCTGGCTGGCCTGCTCAGAGATGCAGGGGGTGAGGTGGTGGCTGGAAGCCCCTGCCACTGCCGCTGCCTCCGCGGCCTGCCAACATGAATGGCTTGCAGAATTAGTCAGCAGGCTGGCCTGCCTTGGGAAAGGGCCACTGTCCCTCCAGCCTGGGCCAGCTAGGGAACAATGTGGGGTTTGTTGCTTAGGGGTCCCAGGCTTGCAGTGGGGGAAGGCACTGGGGTGGGCGGAAGACTTGAGCTGGGGTCCTCAGAGGAGGTGTGACACTTATGTCCAAGGGCAGCCCTCAGGCCCTGCAGTCAGGGGGAATCCTCTGAGCCTCCCCTCTGTCCAGGGACCCCCTCATTCCATCTCAGCTGCAGCATTTACCCTGGGGCCTGAATGCAGCCACTTAGCCTGTCTCTGCTTCCTTAACTGGGAGACAGAAGCAATCCCTCCTTCACAGAGGACTGTGGTCATTAAATGAGACAAGATATGTCAAGCATCTGGCCTCGTGCCTGCTGCCTTCTCTTTCTTTCTAGAAGGTTGGGGTCTTCTTAAACGATTCCTAATCACGGTGTGTTTAAATTCATCTGCTTTTGGCATCAAAGTCCCAAATATGATAATTTACATATACCACATCCCTAGTCTGTTCCCTGTTCAACTTAAACAAGTTCTTAAGTCTTGTTGGGCACCTGCTCCATGCAGGCACTGGGCTGGGGTGACGCCTGCTGACTTACTGGTAACCAGTTTCTCCTATCTCCAACTTTAACCCTGGTTGAAGGAGGACAGGATCTGAGGCAGCTCAGCCCCGAAATCCCTAGATGAATGAAGCTGTTGCTCCATCCCCAGGCTCTGGGCCGCAGGCAAACCTTCGTAGTCTTGAGGATAGGGCCAGAACCCGAGCCCACCCTCAACCTCCTTAACCGGATGGGCACATCTCCTTAGGGGTTGGAGGTCACCCGAGAATCACTTAGCTCTAGTTCTCAAATCCCATGTACAGTCCTTCCTCAAATTCTCCTGGCAATGGGGGCTTGCCGCTGTAGGCAGGAAAGGCATCCGATGGCTCTGGGGTGAGCAGTGCCTTCAGGAAGCGTCCCTGGGCACAGAGGAAGGGGCTGGGAGAGCTCAGGACTGGGGAGACCAAGAGCACAGGGCCCCGGGGACCCGTTTGCAGAACTAAGAGTGACTGTGGCTGCTTCTTCCTGCAGTAGTAGGAAGGGACAGGATGTTCTGCAGAGGCCTGCTCCATTTCCCAGGGTGAAGGAGAGGCAGGGGGAGGCGGAGCCGGGAGGCAGGGCTTATTGAAAACTGGGTCAAGATGGCTTCGGATTTGAGTGAGCAGAGCCTACCAGGCTCTGGGGTAGCAGCTGCGGGTACCACAGAGAGGTCTGGCTAGACAGGAGGGGTGGGAGGAGGACTCAGATCGGCAGAGGAGTGAAGGTAGGGCCTCTCCCAGGAAACCAGGAGCATCGACACCAACCGAGAGGTGGAAAGGAGCAGAGCCACCAGGCTCTGGGGCCTGAATGCAGGCCTGGGCTACTCAGAGAAGACACTTAACTGGTCCCAGCTGCAGAGTGGGGCTGGGGGGTGGGGCAGAGTACTGGTTCTGATCCAACCCTCACTGTGGATGAGGTCAGGGGCCTGGAAAAGAGAAGGGCTAAGGGCTGCGCTGGCTGTATGGACACAGCTCAGTTGGAGCACAGTCCAGCCTCCAGCCCTGTCCTCCGGCCACCCTGACCAGGCCCTGGGCAGCTCCTTCGACAGACCTCCTCAGCTTCGCTTGGCAGCTGACAGTCCAAGGCTGGGACCACATGAAGGTCTGAAAAGAGAACGGGAAGGAGGCAACGCTGGATCCTAGACACACGTGTGGGCGGCTGTCCTGTGAGGGACCATTGTTCCCGGCAGGAGCACGTGCCCACCGTGGGCGCGGCTGTTTACGCCCAGTGTGCGGGGTGGGCTGGTATCCCCGTGGGTCTGCCACCAGCAGAAAAATAACTGGCACCACGCACCCCCCAACACAAAATTGGTAATTTATTGTTGTTATTATTAGGAGGCAAAAAAAAATGTACAGTTACAAGAATCATATTCCAAACAGAGGTTAAATATGAGTTGAAAAGTGTAAAAAAGGAAGAGGAACATCACTTTACAAATCATTAAATTAAACAAATAAACAAACAAAAAAACCAAACCCAAAGAACCAACCCCCCATGCTGAGTTCTCTCCTTGTGCAACTCTGCAAAATGAGAACAGAAAATGAGGTGGGCCGTGGAGGTGGGAGCCCTGGGTGGGGCAGGAGCCAGGGACCAGGAACAGGTGGAGAGGGTGCTGGGGCAGCACGGACACCGTTTTCCTGCCCCTTAGGCCTGGTGGTCCTACCAAGGCTGGGGGCAGAGAGGTTCCCACCTGCCTGTGGCATTGCAGCCCTGTGGGGACAAGCCAGATTGGGAGGCAGATACACACAGGACCGGGATGCGTGGGGGGTGGCCACCAGTAACCTGGGCTGATACCTGACCCAGGTGCCAGGCTCTGCCTTTCTGGTCTGAACTTGCCCCAAGCCCACCCTGCATCTCTCTCCTTCTCTCCAGATGGCCCCTCCCAGATCCTAAATGGCCCCTGCAGCATCAAATGGTTGATTTTAGTCTTTGCTTAAATTAAAAAATTAAAATATATATACATATATATACTGTACACACAGGACAACAACAGAGAGTGTTGAAAAGGGAAGTCGAGGCGTGGGCTGGAGGGAGCTGGGGCTGTGGGGCCAGGCCGTGGGAGGGAAGCAGGGTTGGGTGAAGGGATGAAGGGAGAGAAGGGGGAGAGGTTAGGGGCCCAGTTGGGGGGCAATTTATTTTACAATAAAAACAGGAGTTCAAACCTCAGCAGAATGGGTCTCTGGGAGCCCCAGAGGGCCGTCCCCACACTGAGTGAGGAGGAGTGGGTTTGGGGGGATGGGGTGGGCGGGGAGCTCGGCTTCAGGTTTAGATCACTGCCGTCCCTGGTCAGAGGGAGAAGGGCCGCGGTCTCAGCTTCTCCGTGACTTTGAGTGTTGAATAAGCCACTGTAGGGTGATGTCTGGGCAGGAGATGAGAGAAGTGTATAAGGCTTTGCTGAAGCTGGCTGGGGAGTGACAGTGAGCCCAGGGTTCCCCAAACCACAGCCAGGGAGCACGTCGAAGGGCACCCAAAGCCCAGGTTGACAAAGCTCCAAATAGTCCCAAATGGAAGGAGACAGAGCCCCGCATGTAGAGTGGCCTGGAGTTGTCCGGTTCAACCCAGAACTCAAAGGTGCAGAAGGGGGCTAGTGGCCCAAGGTCAAACACCACTGAGGAAGAGCTGGTACACTCAGAGTGGGGCCTCCCGGCTGCCCATTGCACCGGAGGACCACAAAGCTTTGTGCTACAGCTGTGGACTGGGAACCTCTGAGAGCCCAATGCTAAGACATCCAGGAAAGGTCTCCTCTCCCTTCCCCACTGCCACTCCCGGAGGTCAGTAGCTCCCCAAACTCACGCACCAATGTTGTCCTTCTCTTTGCAGGAGATGGAGTAGCAGCAAATCTCTCGGTCCTGGATGGCAGACAGATTCCTGGGGGGAGACCACAGTAGAGTCTGCTGAGGTTGGGACTGCTTGGGGACCTGGGACTAGGGAAAGACAGGGTCTTTT